GGCCTGGGCTGTACTCAAACCTGCCACCTTAGGTTTATGTGGCTGGCGCCTTAGCCACTTGAGCCACAGGTGCCGAGCCTATTCATGAATATTTTTAAGGACCAAATCAATTCCTTAATCACCACCAATGTACAAAATCTAGTTAAGCTTAATTCTGTATAAATACCTTTCAAGCTAAATGAAAAAATATTAAACTTCACTATGAAACATTAATGTTTAGCATGCGTTATATTTAGTCTTACGTTATATCTACTATGGTTGAAAAATTTAAGTCTCCTAAAGAACTTAAAAGGATGATAATGCTATTTCTTCTTTTTTAAAGTTTCATTCATTACCTCAATTGCATCTCTCAGGCAACCAGCTAAAAGAAAAAATGCTGCAGAATGTTCAAATCTTTGTTTGCCTAGCAAAGAAAAAGCATTCTTTAAAGCTGCTTTACGCCACCTTTCATCCTCAAAATTGTGTCCAAAAAACTGTGTCATCTTGGTGTCTTTTTGAGATCTATTAAAGAAAAGAAAAGTATGAAAATTTTGGAATGCAATTTTCCTATATCAGAATCAATCTCCAAAGGTTATGACTTAAAACTTAAGACTCAATAGAAACATTTGACAGTTTATAAATTACTGTATGTCGTTTCTTTCCCAAGCAAAAAAGAATATTAGATTTATTTTTTCATATAGATCTGAGAGATTATTGAAAAATTTTCTTTCAAACCAAAAGAAAATTACATTAGCAGTAGGTAAACGATTACTCTTTTTTTGCTGCCCTCAGTAGAGTGCTGTGGCATCACAGCTCACAGAAACCTCAAACTCTTGGGCTTAAGCAATTCTCTTGCCTCAGCCTCCCAAGGAGCTGGGACTACAGGCGCTTACCACAACGACCAGCTATTTTTTTGTTGCAGTTGTCATTGTTGTTTAGCAGGCCTGGGCTGGGTTCAAATCCGCCAGCCTCGGTGTATATGGCTGGCACCGTAATCACTGTGCTATGGGTACTGAGCCAGAAGATTACTTTTAAATCCATGAAAAACATATAACTTAAATTAACTTCTATACTACTTCACCATTTAAACCTCATCAGTAACCTTTCTTTGTTGCATATAACCTTGCTGATCAAAATCTTAAAAAGTCACCCTGACTCAAAACAAGCCTAAGATATTCAATATATTAAAAAATTGATCTGGCACCAAAATGTCCCCCCAAAGTTGCTGCTCATGTGGGCCACCTAGAACTAAACCAAAAACAAATGATGAACTATTTATGATAATCATGCTCATCAATCTTGCTGAGAAGTAAAAAGAAAGGCTAAATGAATTCAGCTCAAGAATGAAGTCAGGGCACACAGGAGGGAAACAGTTTTGAGGGACAGCCTAGCCCAAGTGCTTTCAACAGGACAGAGGGTAGATGCAGATGCCTGTTCCAGACTCCGCAATTCATCTTATTCCCTATCCCAATGCTTTAGTTACTTTTTTTTTTTTTTTTAACAAAAGCATCAGGAGAAGTTCTTAAACAAAGAATATGTTTCCAGACTGATAATTCTGAAAACGAACTAAGTGAACTCATCAGGTTTCGTCCACTCTGGAAAACTGGGTTTTTTTTCCCCTATGAAATCTCTCTATACATACAAAAATAACTAAGAATCAACATCAACAAGAACAACAAATCTTTGTACATTTATTCCTTAAAAACAGGTTTTCATTTTGAAGCAAAATGTTCTTAACATACCTGTATAATCCCCAAATCACAGCTTTCTTTTTCATTGCAAGGTAAAAAATGGCTGCATCTAAAGGATCATTCTTCCTATAAAAGGCTGCTTTGGCTACCTATAAGCAGAAAATATTGGTCGAAACTGCACAGAAACAGCTTTTAAGCAAACAAATAACTTCCCTCATTTACAAGACCAGCATACGTTATATATCTGAAAGTTCGGTTCAGTTTAAAAATATGTATATGAATATATGTACACATATATAAAATAATAACAAAACTAACTTACAGGCTGGGCACCTTGGCTCATGCCAGCACTTCGGGAGGACTGCTTCAGGGTAGGAGTTTGAGGCAGCTGTGAACTATGGTCGCAACACTGCACTCTAGTCTGGGCAACAGAGTGAGATCCCAATTTTTTTTTTTTTTTTTTTTTTTACGAGTAACAGCATAAGGGATATGGAATGTCATTTAAAGAAACATCTAAAACAGATTAAGTCCATTCAGTAAAATATTAGCTGTGGGTTTATCATAGATAGCTTCAATCAACTTAAGAAATGTGCCACCTATGCCTAAACTCTTCAGTGTTCTAATTAGAAAAGGATGCTGGATTTTATCAAATGCTTTTTCTGCATCTATTGAGAAGATCATATAGGCTTTGTTTTTGCTTCTGTCGATATGGTGAATAATGTTTATGGATTTACGTATATTATATCAGTCTTGCATCCCTGGGATGAAACCTACTTGATCATGATATTAAGCTGTATTTTATTGGCTAGGATTTTGTTGAGAATTTTTGCATCTATTAATTATTAATTTTTTACACCAAAATAAAACACTCACTTTTTCTATGCATTTGCGTAAGACGCGGGTATTCCGGACCCACCATCCCACACCCATAGCTCTTAGTTCAGACCACGTGGGATCATCTTTCTGCATTGCTGGCAACATGTTCAGCAACTCTTCTTCTGCTACTGAGTGAAATGCCCAAGCAAAATGACTAGTAGACAAGCCTGGAGAAATGTAAAAAATAACATTTATAAGAAACAGAAATACACATATAACGAACAGAAGCTTTCAAAAGAAGATAAGGGCCAGTAAACATGAAAAAGAGACTCAACATTTCCACTCTTCTCAAGTGGGTGGACACCAAAGTAAAAACAAAGTAAGGGTTGTGAAGAAGCAAAGACTCATGATAATTCCAAAAACAGCTACTAATAAATCTCCAATCATGAACCCTAAAGAGAGAGAAATCTGTGAAAGGACTAACAAAGAATTTGAAATAATCCACTTAAAAAAAAGTTCAGTGAACTACAAAAATATATGGATGGAAGTAAAATGAACTTCAGGAAAAAATACACAAACAAGGAAACAGAAAAATAGAAACATTAAAAACCAAATTGAAATCATAGAGATGAAGAATTCAATAACTGGGCTCGGCGCCTATAGCTCAACCTGCTAAGGCGCCAGCCACGTACACCTAAGGTGGCGGGTTCGAATCCCCAGCCCGGACCCGCCAAACAACAATGACGGCTGCAACCAAAAAATAGCCGGGCGTTGTGGCGGGCGCCTGTGGTCCCAGCTACTTGGGAGGCGGAGGCAGGAGACTCGCTTGAGCCCAGGAGTTGGAGGTTGCTGTGAGCTGTAATGCCATGGCACTCTACCCAGGGGGACAGCTTGAGGCTCTGTCTCAAAAAAAAAAAAAGAATTCAATAACTGAAAAATTCAGCAGAAAGTTTCAGTAACAAGCTTAACCAAGCAGAAGAAAGAATTAGCAAGCTCAAAGGCAGAACATTTGAAAATATCCAGTTAGAGGAACAAAAGGAAAAAGAATAGAAAAAAATGAAGAAGCTTACAGGAATTATGAAACACCATCAAGAATCCTTCAGTGCACAGGAGTTTCAGAAGGAGAAGCGAGAGGAAAAAGGCTGAAAAGCATACTTAAAGAAATAATGGCTGAAAACTTCCCAAATCTGAGCAAAGATGCCAACATTCAGGTATATGCAGCACAAGTCTCCAATAAATTTCAACCCAAAGAGGAGTCCCCTAAGACACCTAATAACCAAAGTATCAAAAATCAAAGACAAAATCCCCCACAACATTCTGAGAGCAGCAAGAGATAAGAAACATCATATACGAGATCCCAACATGGCTATCAGTGCGTTTCTCACCAGAAAATCTGCAGGCCAGAGAGTGAAATGAGATATTAAAACTGCTGAGAAAGAAACAAAATAAAAACTGACAATCAAGAATACTTAACCCTACAAAGCTCATCTTCAGAAATGAGGGAGAAACAAAAATTTTCCCAGACAAGTATGAGAGAGTTCATTCAATACTTATAGGAATTGCTAAAAGGAGTTCTTTAAGCAGAAATGAAAGGGCAGTAATTGGAAACATAAAATATTTGAAAGCACAAAATTCAATGGTATAAGTAATATAGAGGCAGGCCTAGAACACTCTAGGACTGCAATGATGGTGTAGAGGGCAAACTTATCCTTATATGGGGTTAAAAGACAAAATTATCATGAACAATTACAGCTAAAATATATTGTAGAGGGATACAAATAACAAAATGATGTAAACTCTGGCATCAAAACAAAATGTGGGGATGGGAGGGCTAAAATGTAGAGTTGTTACATATGATCAGAGTTAAGCTGTGACCAGCATGAAATAGTCCATTACATTTTGTGTAAAATCTCCTGATAACCAAAAAGAAAAAAATGTATATTAGATACATAAATAGAAAGGATTCAAAGCATACAGTAGAAAACTAGCAAAAACAAATGAAAAAATGCTCATTGTCACTAATTATTAGAGAAATGCAAATCAAAACCACCCTGAGATATCATCTAACCACAGCGAGAATGGCCCAAGTCACAAAATCTCAGAACTACAGATACCGGTGTGGATGTGGAGAGAAAGGAACACTTTTACTCTGCTGGTAGGACTGCAAACTAATACAACCTTTTTGGAAGGAAGTATGGAGAAACCTCAAAGATCCCAAGCTAGACCTCCCATTTGATCCTGTATCTCTTTACTGGGCATCTACCCAGAAGGAAAAAAATCCTTTTATCATAAGGACACTTGCACTAGACTGTTTATTGCAGCTCAATTTACAATCGCCAAAATGTGGAAACAGCCTAAATGCCCCCAACCAAGGAATGAATTAACAAGCTATGGTATATATATACCATGGCATACTATTCAGCCATTAAAAAAGATGGAGACTTTACATCCTTTGTATTAACGTACGATAGTAAAGTATCACAAGAATGGAGAAGCAAGAATCCTATGTACTCATTTCTCACATGAGGACAATTAATGACCTAGTACATGGTTGGGGGTGGGGAAGGGAAGAAGAGAGAGAGAGAAAGAGTGAGAAGGAGGAAGGGGGATGGGGGAAAGGAACAGCAGAGAGAGGGAAGGAGGGAGGAGTGGGGTCTTGGTCTGTGACACACCTTTTGGGGGGCAAGACACAATTATAAGAGGAACTTCACCTAATAAATACAATCAGTGTTTCTTGTACCTTCAATGAATCCCCAACCAAAAAAAAAAAAAAAAAGCAAATGACAAGGAATGAAAAAAGAAACAAAGTATCTTTAAAACAACTAGAAAACAAATTACAACCTTTTGGGGGGCAAGAAAGAATTATAAGAGGAACTTCACCCAATAAATGCAATTAGTGTTTCTTTAACCTTCAATGAATCCCCAACAACAACAACAACAAAAAAAGCAAATGACAAGGAATGAAAAAAGAAACAAAGTATCTTAAAAACAACTAGAAAACAAATCACAGAATAGCAGTACTAAGTTCTTACTTACCAATAATTACTTTAAATATAAATGGATTTAAATCTCCAATAAAAAGACATAGAGTAGCTGAATGGATATAAAGCTCCCTGTATGAGACCAGCTCACTTTCAGGGACACACATACACTAAAGGGATAGAAAAAGGCCACACAACAGAAACCAAGGAGAATAGTATTCATAGCAGACAAACAAATTTTAAGTCAAAACTGTAAAAGGAGACAAAGAGGAATGTTATATATTGATAAAGGAGTCAGTTAATCCAGAGGACGTAATAGTTATAGATATATATGCGCCCAACATCAGAGCACCTAAAATGTAAGCAAATGATTAAGGATCTGAAGGGAGAGAGAGATTTCAATACGATAATAGTAGGGACAGCCTGAGCAAGAGCAAGACCCTGACTCTACTAAAAATAGAAAAAGTAGCCAAGTGTGGAGAGTGCCCCTAGTCCCAGCTACTTGGGAGGCTGAGGGAAGAGGATTGCTCAAGCCCAAGAGTTTGAGGTTGCTGTGAGCTATGATAATACCACAGTGATGTACTCAGGGTGACACAGTGAGATTCTGTCTCAAATAATAGTAACAGCAGGGGACTCCAATACCTCCATTTCAACAACAGACAGATCATCCACACAGAAAATTTATAAGGAAACATTGGACTTGACCAATGTCTTGTCATTCAGAACATTCCATCAAATAGCAACTGAATACATGTTCTTCTCATGCACACAAGGAACATTCTTTAGTATAAATCATATTTTAAGCTACAAAGCAAGTCTGAAAAAATTTAAGATTTTTCATTATATTCACAACTTGGCTAATAGTTTGGTACAACAGACCTGACTTTTACCTTATTTCAGCTTTTAACATGCCTTCCTCGATAAACTTAATCACTCTATTTTGTTGTTGTTGTTGAAGTTTGGCTGGGGCTGGGTTCAAACCCACTGCCCTTGGTATATGGGGCCAGCACCCTACTCACTGAGCCCCAGGTGCCATCCAACTTAATCACTTCTAACTTTTGTTTTAAAGCAAAAGACATGTGACTCTGCCTTTCACTTGAACACTTAGAAGACACAGGGTTATTTATTTATTTATTTATTTGAGACAGGGTCTCACTTTGTCACACAGTCTAGAATACAGTGGCATGACCACAGCTTGCTGTAACCTCAAATTCCTGGGCTCAAGTGATTCCCTTCCCTCACCCTTCTGACTACAGGTGTCTACCACCAATCCCAGAGAACCGTTTTATTTCTTTGTAGTGATGGGTTCTTGCTATGTTGTTAGGCTGGTCTTGAACTCTTTGTCTCATGCAACTCTCCTGCCTTAGGCCTCTCAAAGCCAAGGATTACAGGTGTGAGCCAGCCCACCCAGCCTGTAGGGTCATTAATTGTTATGTCTCAGTGATTGGGGTGGTCTGAGAAGGAGACAGAAATGGTCTGTATCACAGTCAGGACACACATAGCTATTAAGTTCACTGTCTTATATGGGCATGATTTGTGGCACTCTAAAACAATTACCATAGTAACAGCAAAGATGACTTATCACAGATCACCATAACTGATACAATAATAATGAAAAAGTTTGAAATGCTGACGGAATTATTAATATGTGCCACAGAGACATGAAGTAAGTACACGCTGTTGGAAAAATGGTGCCACCCAGCATTGTCACAAATCTTCAATTTATAAAAAAATGCAATTATTTGTGAAATGGCCACAAAGCAAAGCAGAACAAAAAGAGATGTGTACTGTTCAGCCTTAAAAAGGAAGGAAATCCTGGCATTTGTAACAACACGGATGAATCTGCAGGACATTGTGCTAAGTGAAAAAGCCAGGCACTGCAGACAAATGCTGCATGATCTCACTTCTATGTGGAACCAAAACCAGTCACAATCACAGAAGTAGAGACTAGAATGGCAGTTAGCAGAAAGGCTGGAGGATGGGAGTAGGAGGGAGATGTCGGGCAAGGGTACAAAGTTTCAGTAAGACAAGAGGAATAAATTTCTGAGATCTGTTAATAACAGTGGATTGTATATTTCAAAAATGCTAAGAGAATTTGAAATGTTCTCATCATAAGGATATATATTTGAGGTGATGAATGTTACTACATTTGATTTAATCATTCCATTTTATAACATTACTTTGTACATCAAAAATATAGAAAATTATGTCTCAGTGCCTGTAGCACAGTGGTTACAGCACCAGCCACATGCACCAAGGCTGGTGGGTTCCAGCCCAGCCTGGGCCAACTGAACAACGACAACTGCACTAACAACACAACAACAAATACATAGAAAACTGTAAATTGTCAAATTACAGTAACATTTTTTAAAATTATAATTATTTAGAAGTTTAACCTTTACTTTTTCAAAGCTGAATGCAAAATGAGAGAAAGAAAGCCAACAGAGAAATAAAGACACAGAAAAGAAAAAACAGATCAGGAGACAGAGACCAGTGAGCAGAGACTAACCCGTATAGTTCCAATAACACTGTTAAACCTGCAGATCCAATCATGTGGAAGTCAGCTCTACTTCTTGAACTTCCTGAGCATTGAGCCAATAAATATTCTGTTTTGTTTAAGTTAACTTAAGTGAGATTTCTATTACTTTGAACTGTGGGAGTTGTGCCTAACAATGTAAGAATATCTGAAATATACTGATATCTGAAATATACACTAATGTTATAAGTTCTGTACTCTTTATGAAACATTTAAAATTTGAATCTGTATCATTTTTATAATAAAAATGTTATTCAAATTTTGAGGGGGGAGGTAAATATAGATAAATGCCAAAAACAAGAGAAAAAAGACAATCTAAAGAAGAAATCTAAGAGAATGAAATGAACTCATTTGCCTTTAATATATTATGCATTTAAAAACATAACACAGAATATCCAATTACCCTATATCCACTTCTTCATTAACTCTTTCCACCTGCCACTAAAAATCCCAATGTTCCCAGTACTCTGGGAGGCTGAGGCAGGTAGATCGTCTGAACTCACAAGTGCGAGATCAGACAGACCTAGAGGCAGACCCTGTCTCTAAAAATAGCCAGGTGTTGCAGCCAGAGCCTACAGCCCCAGCTACTCGGGAGGCTGAGGCAAGAGAATCACGTGAGCCCAAGAATATGAGGTTTCTGTGAGCTATGATGTCACAGCACTCTACTGGGGGTGACAAAGTGAGACTCAGTCTCAAAAATAAATAAATAAATAAATATCCCAATGTTTTAAGCAAAGAAGATTAAGAAGAAATAAACATTTAACAAAGACAGGAAACACAGAATGTGTCAAATTTGTCCTCATTATTTTGTCTGGGCAAAAAAAGTATAAAATATTATAAGCTCCTTTATTTATTTATTTTTTGTAGAGACAAGAGTCTCACTTTATCACCCTCAGTGGAGTGCCGTGGCGTCACACAGCTCACAGCAACCTCCAACTCCTGGGCTTAGGCGATTCTCTTGCCTCAGCCTCCGGAGTAGCTAGGACAACAGGCACCTGCTACACGCCCAGCTATTCTTTTGTTGCAATTTGGTCTGGGACAGGTTTGAACCCACCTCCCTTGGTATATGGGGCTGGCACCCTACCCACTGAACCACAGGCGCTGCCCACAAGCTTCTTTTTTCTACTTGCCTTATTTCTCCCTCAATATATTACTATCAAAAATCACCTTGGTGGAGGAGTTGCGCTCGATAGGCTGGAAGGGAAGTTGTAAGAAAGGTATGGAGTCGGACAGCCAAAAGAAACTTTAACCCACATTCATCAAGAGTTTCTCCACCTACAACCAGAGGGAAAAAGTATTTATTTATTTTTATTCACAGAAAACTCATTTTGTAAACATGTTATTAATTTTTTTTTTTTTTTAGAGACCGAGTCTCACTTTGTTGCCCTCGGTAGAGTGCTATAGAGTCACAATTCCCAGCAACCTCTAGCTCTTGGGCTTAGGCGATTCTCTTGCCTCAGCCTCCCGAGTAGCTGGGACTACAGGTGCCCGCCACAATGCCCGGCTATTTTTATGCTGCAGTTTGGCTGGGGCCGAGTTTGAACCCACCACCTTTGGTATATGGACCCAGTACCGTATTCACTGAGCCACTGGCACCGCCCAAACATGTTATTAAGTACACAATTTTATACTACAGAAACAAGTACAGTTAAATAATTGGATAAATAACAAAGAAGAAAATGAAATGACTCAGAGTCTATGACATTCTTTATAATCTGACCTTTTCTGATCTGAATCTTATTTAAGTTAAAATGATTGAATTTTCTTTAGAGTCTCACTATGTCCCCCTGGGTAGAGTGCCGTGGCATCATAGCTCACAACAACCTCAGACTCTTGGGCTCAAGTGATTCTCTTGCCTCAGTCTCCTGAGTAGTTGTGACTATAGGCACCCACCACAATACCCGGCTATTTTTTGGTTCTAATTCTCATTGTTGTTTGGCAGGCCCCGGCTGGATTCAAACCCACCAGCTCCAAGTGTATGTGCCTGGCACCCTAGCCGCTGAGCTGCAGGCACCGAGCCTAAAATGATTGAATTTTTAAATAGTTTAACCTTATCTTTGGCATATGTTACATTGATATTTTCCACATTGATTCAAAACACATATCTGTTCCAATAACCTGCTGTTACCACTAGAAGAAACAGTTATATTGTGGGAGGGCCTGATTTTTAAAGTAAAAATTATAAACAAAATACCAGGCGATGCCTGTGGCTCACTGAGTAGGGTGCTGGACCCATATACTGAGGGTAATGGGTTCAAACCCAGCCCCGGCCAAACTGCAACAAAAAATAGCTGGGTGTTGTGGCGGGCAACTATAGTCCCAGCCACTCAGGAGGCTGAGTCCAGGGAATCACCTAAGCCCAGGAGTGGGAGGTTGCTGTGAGATGTGTGACGCCATGGCACTCTACCAAGGGTGACAAAGTGAGACTCTGTCTCTACAAAAAACAAACAAAAAAACAAAATACCTGTATAACACAGTCACATTAAAAAATAGTATCTATTAGCAATACCTCTTAAAGCAAAAGTATCAAGATTCATAACTAAGTTTTCTTAAGTTGACAATTTTTTATTATTATCATCTTAAATTTATTGCATATATTTCTTTCAAGCTTAGTTCAAAGGCATACTGTCCTATATGGGGTCAACAATGATGGACTTGCTATTAATAATTTTGGACCATACGTGAGATTTGATGGGAATCTGTTCACAGTTCAGAAGGCTCATTTTTAAAAAATGCCCTCTGCATGAGGAAAAGACCTAATTATTTTGTACATATACTTGTTATTCTAGGTAGGAATATGCACTAATTTTTTTAAAGTATGTTTCTTTTAAAACACAAATCATAATTTTTAAGGGTGGATATTATTACAACATGCAGAAAAAAAGCAGAAACTAACTTTTAGGTTCAGGTACTAAAATAATTGTTTAGTATGAATCTGTTAACTTTTGCTAAACTCAAAAAGATCTTTTATATTATTAAGCAATTAGTAAAAATGATAGGCATAATGGTTGTTGTGTACTTCCTCATATTTTGATTCATGGCATAAATAGCATATATTAAAGTTAAAACTTTAGTAAGATGGTAAAGGTAGCAAAGATGTTTTAAAAAACCATGCATCATTTTTATATTAAGATTATTCTCTGTGAAAAAATAAAAACGTTATCACAAGTCTAGAATTTAATTTTACCTTGGTTTCTGTCTCTGCTTTCTCCAATATCTGTGCTTGTAGTTGCAATTGTATCTGCTAAGGCCATCAAGGACATCTGTTCCATCCGGCTGAGACCTGGTAAACTAGAATGAAGTAAGTGGCCAGAAAGAACCTGAGCATGCTCAGGACCAAAGTACGTTGGACTGTACTGGGAAAGGTCAATAACACTGGGCTTTGGAGTCTCCTCATCTGTCTCTAACACATCAGTATCGGCCATCAGAGCTGAGGTCTGAAAGAGCTCATCGTAATTTTCTTTTGATAACTGATGTGATTTGTTCAAGGTATTTTCATTATGGGGTTTCTCCAAAGATGAGTAACAGCTGTCATCATCTGCTGCAAGTAAGGCGTACAAAGGGAGTGGAGGGACAGAATCTATTTCTGTGTAATCTGTGCTCTCAGCCTTGCTGAAGGCCTGGGGGTCTCGGGTGGTGCTTCCGCTAGCACTGATGGTGAGAGATCGAAGGCGGCGGTCGGGATTAGATTCAGCTTCATTCAGAGCCACGACTTCCCCAGCAATGCACTTGACAAGATGGGACAAGATGGCCTTTGCTCGCCGAACTTTGCCAAGATCCATAAGTTCTAAGAGCTGCAATGGATGGTACTGGGGTAAAGTTGGGGAAAGTACATGGGCTGCCTCAAAAAGACCTGAATCTTCCATATCCACCGAAGGATCAAACACACTCTTCTTTCCACAGATTTTCTGTGCAAGGCTAGTCATGGATCGAGTCAGGGTTTTCTTTGGAGGAGGTAACCCAGCACTTGAGGAGTTACTCTGTTTTATTAAACTTATTATAGATGGAGTGCTCCCATTGTATGAGTCTGTTATAACAGGTTCTTGTTTAGTAGAAGGCTGCCACTGGGAATATACATGCATTTCACAATCCATTCCTACCACAAGGATGCCATCCCGGACCCAAGATAAAGAAACAGGAAAAGGTGGGGAACCTTCTACCGAAGATACCAAGTCCACACTTCGTAATAGTACAAATTTAGAAAGGGGTACAACTTTAGTGCTCTCCCAAAGAGGAAAGCCCAGGCTTTCCTTACCAGTCTGTTCTTGTACCTTGCCTGCTAGGGGTCCATACATAAAAAGCTTTGATCCAATTCCTACAGTCAGGATATGAGATCCATCTTCTCTAGACATCCAATCTAAGTGAACTAAATGCTTTGTGTTTGATGTGATATTCTCTCTACTGGACAAATACATCTCCTGTTTATTATAGGCCACTAAATTGCTATCAATACTGATGCCAGAACCCAACACTGTGCTTAACTCGTCTAAATGAACTGTCTGTTCAAGGACCCAACACGAGCCTCCTGTAGACTCACATTCAAAAATACTTACATGCATCACGAAGTCCTGAGAAGATCTACTATTAGATGTAGGCTGCTTGTAAGCTACTGCTAAACGATTTGTATGTGCACAGCTAACTTCTATAGGCCTACCAGGTACCGTTATACTACTGTTATTCTGAAGTCCATCTTCAATAAGTAATGGCCACTCTTCCCAAATGTACACAAGATCCATTTCTCCATTCTTTGATATGCCAGATTCTCCATGTGTTACTCTGCATCTCCAGAATCTTACTTTCTCATCTGAACATGAAGTTGCCAATAAATAAGGAGCACTGCACACAGGATAGATGGAAGAAGAACTCAGATGTCCTAAAATGAAAGTATTCCATTAATAAAATGTCAACTTTGGCTAAATACTTCTGTTTTTATGAACTAAAGGCTTTAGTCCTTTTGTATGAACTACCATTGAGAATATGATAATCTATATTTAGGTTAAGGGACAACAGGAACAGTTAACAGGCTTTAATGACATGAAAAAAGGTATACAAGAAGAAAACATCATCAAAACTTAGAGTTGGAGGCTAGGCACAGTGGCTCACACCTGTAATCCTCACACTTGGGAGGCCAAGGCAGGTAGATTACCTGAGTTCAGAGTTCGAGACCAGCTTGAGCCAGAGCGAGACCTCATTTCAAAAAAATAGCTGGGTGCTGTGGAGGATGCCAGTAGTCCCAGCTACTTGGGAGACTGAAGCAAGAGAATCACTTGAGCCCAAGAGTTTGAGATTGCCGTGAGCTATGATGCCACAGCACTCTATCAAGGGCAACAAAGTAAGACTCTGTCTCAAAAAAACCCATAAAAACAAAAACTAGAGCATGCTTTAATTCCAGCATTTTATAAACAAGAAATCTTAACCAAACATGTTAAGTATACTATGTCTTATCAAACTACCAGACAAATTCTAGTCCAGATTTTTAATCCAGCATTCAATTCACAACTATATATTATTTAATTTTATTATTTTAATCTTATTTTAGAGATAGAGTCTCACTCTGTCACAAAGCTGGAGTGCAGTGGTGCGTCACAGCTTACTGAAACCTTTGACTCTTGGGCTCAAGCAATCTTCCTGCTTCAGCCTTCGCAGTAGCTAGGACTACAGGTAAGTGCCACCATGCCTAGTCAATTTTTTTTTTTTTTAATTTTTGTAGGGGAAGAGGTCTTACCATGTTTCCTGGGTTGGTCTTGAACTCTTTGCCTCAAGCATTCCTCCCATTTCAGGCTCCCAAAATTCTAGGATTACATGTGTGAGTCACTGTGCCCAGCCTGGTTTCGTAACTATACTGGATTTACACATTATTATAAATTGCATTTTAAAGGTATTTTGAAACATCTGTCAATACTGACTAGCTCCTTCTCCTTCATATTTTTTGATATAAATATAAAGGGCTTTGCTTACCTACAAACTACCTGGTCACTTTTCAGGGCCCTTCATGGTTGAGGTATATTTGACATAGCTTATGCTGAGAAGATTCCCAAGTGTAATTTAACATTTGCATAGGCTTAAAGTAATCACATACTACTATGGTAATTTTCTAAAACAGGAAATCAGCAAACTTTTTCTTAAAGAGCCACATAGTAATAACTCTTTTAGGTTTTTGTTTTGTTTTGTTTAGAGACAGAGTCTCACTTTATCGCTCTTGTTAGAGTGCCATGGTATCACAGCTCATAGCAACCTCCAACTCCCGGGCTTAGGTGATTCTCTTGCCTCAGCCTCCCTAGTATCTGGGACTACAGGTGCCCACAACAGCGCCTGGCTATTTTTTGTTGCAGTTTGGCTGGGGCCGGGTTCGAACCCGCCACCCTTGTATGAGACTAGAGCCCTACCCACTGAGCCACAGGTACCACCCTCTTTTAGGTTTTGTTAGCCATAAAGTCTTTGTTGCAAGTACTCAACTCTATCACTGTAAAGCAAAAACAGCTATCCACACTAGTAAACAAATAGGTGTAGCTGTGCTGCAATCAAACTTACAAAACATATAGGTGACCCATATCCTAAACTAGTAAACACAAACAACCAATTATAACATAGACTTAAGACATTTATCATATTTTATCATATTTCACCATAATTGTAGTAAGCTTTTTACAGAAAGCCTTCAAGGACACAAAATTAACCATTGGTTTCTGTAAGCTGAATAGAGAATAAAAATCTTATCCTTCCCAATAGTACTGATTACAAAAATTCTTTCAGAAGTCAGAAAAAAGCTTTCACCATATGCTAGCTCCTTTTGCCAAACCAAACAAATCTCTTCTTTTCCATAGGTCTTTTCTTCTAGGAAAAAACTCTGGCCCTAGATTAATAGGAAATTTATCTTAATAAATAGCTTCAGTTTCTCTGTATTTGCCATAAGATTTTAACTGAAGTTCCATAGTAAAGAGCATACTGTTACAGGGCTAATGATAGCGACTCTTCAAATTCTACCAATACAAAGCCATTCTTTTTTAAACTTTAACTTTCTTTGCATTCATTTTTTTAAATTAAAATATGCCCCCAAAGCAGAATGCAAATATTAATACCCCCAACTCCTATGAACTTCACCATTAAGAAAACATTGAGTACTTGAAAACAACATGATAAACTGAAAAGCAAAGTAAATCAGTCAGAAATGAAAGAATTATCTGATGAAAAAGATGGATTTGTCTTGGTATTCTTGATACCTTTGAACAGTGGTTCAGTCGACAGTGTGCATAAGAATCACTGTGAAGGCTTGTTAGACCTGACGCTGGGCCCTAATCCAGAGTATTATGAGTTGGTAATTCTAGATGACCCAAGAATTTTCACTTCTAACAAGTGCCCAGGATGCTGAAGCCGCTGGTCTGAGGAAATTCTGAAAACCACTGGACTAAAATAAGGATGCTTAAATACACACATACAGCAGGAACTGCACACTCAGAATCTTTCTTACTAGCATATGGCTCCAAAGTTTGCCATAAGGTACAACTCCCAAAGTTTGCAAATAAGGCACAATTTAGTTATCACTTTTGTTACAGAAACTTTTCAGTTGTTCTTCATGAAAGGGCAATGAAAATTTGTTTTAGACATCACTAGTTAAGACTTAAAACTGGCTGATGAATGTCAGAGTAATCTGAAAACATAATGAGAAATTTAAGTGTTCAATTTCGGGCATTCGAATTTATTATTTCCATGTCTAGGTATATGTGGACTTAAGAGGTAGTTGCAGCAGCCTATTTTTAAATACCTGGTAAACACTCATGATTTACAAAATTAAGTCTCTTTTCATAAAATTTACAAACCTGCTGATGGCTTAATACTTATGATCTCAACTCCTTCTGGCAAATTCAACTCTTGGCTATAAACCATTTCTGAAGACAGAGTCAACTTGCTGGTACTCTGGAGATTTGCCCTGCAAGCCTGATACTTCTGTGAGAAAGGAGACAGGATCCTCTCTGGAGAAGAAGAATAGTGCTCTTCTGGCTGACACACTGCTTCAGATATTTTTGAATCTACTTTTTCATCTATAAAACATAAGAACAAGGGAACTCTATAAATATTACAATTGCTACATTTTATAATCCACAACTTCCTTATAAAAAATAAAAGAGTAAAAATATTACTATGATTCTTTACAGTAAGAAAATGAGAAAATCAGTTTGCGTTTTGAATTAAATGAATAGATAATTATCAACATTAAATAAGAATGACTCTAAGAAATATTCTGCTTTGAACTGTTTAATCATGTTTAATTTGAAAAAAGACTCACCCAACGAGACAGGAATTGACTTTAAATGTAAATTCCACATGTGTAACAGGGAACGGCTGTCTTGCGTGCACTCTATTACAATCAGATAGAACTTTTCAGAAAATCCATTGGGTGAGCTGCCTGCTGGTATGAATGATATTTTTCACTATTAACATAGAAAAATCAGACAACTTACTATACATATCAAGTTAAATTAACAAGATTTAAAAATAAAGAAAACTAAAAAATTTTCCTTAAGTCTCTAGTATAAAGTGGCATTATAGAATACATTCAAATTCACCAAATGAATTTGTATTAATTCAAAATTTTTACAACAGTATATATGCTGTATATAAATTTATTTTTCTTTTTTTTGAGACAGAGGCTCCCTATGTCCCCCTCAGTAGAGTGCAGTGGTATCACAGCTCACAGCAACCTCTAACTCTTGGACTTAAGTGATTCTCTTGCTTCAGCCTCCTGAGTAGCTGGGACTCCAGGCATCTGCCACAATGCAAGGCTATTTTTGTTGTTGTTACACTTGTCATTGTTGTTCAGCAGGCCCAGCCTGGGTTTGAACCTGCCTGCCTCCGTGTATGTGGCTGGTGCCCTAACTACTGAGCTATAGGCACCAAGCTATAAATTTTATTTTTAAATTGACAAGCTCAAAAAGTCATATATTACAGTCATCATGATCAAATTGTTAACATAGATTAGGCTACATGAAGTGGGAATTTTCAAAATAGACAGGAACTATGTGACATATACTCTAAGTCAACACATGACGAAAATGGTGTTACATTTTTTGAAGCAAGCTCTATAAATTAAAGGAATTAACTAATTTATGATAGTTATCTAATGACCAAAAAATGTAAGTATTCATTATACAATATGTAAGTAAAAAAAAAGTTCTCAGCTCAAATTTCAGTTTAACTGCATACAAGTTGTTCTAAATAAATAAATCTTTCTAAAATAACGTATATTGTAAAATTAGTGGCATATTATTACCTGGTAAAAAACCTTTTTTTAAACAATACTTTTTAATCCAAGTTTTTTCTTTTTTTATAACTCAAATTCTGTAAAACAAGTATCTTCATTATGTACAAAATTATCCACCTGGGGCAGTGCCTGTAACTCAAAGGAGTAGGGTGCTGGACCCAGCTAAAAACTACAAACCAAAAATATCCAGCTGGAGGCCAAGAATTGGAGACTCACTTGGGCAACATAATGATTTATATTTCTGTCTCTATGAAAAATGAAAAATAAAAAAATTAGCCAGTCATGGTGGATGGCACTTGTAGTTCCAGCTGCTCAGGATACTGAGGTAGGAGGATCACTTGAGCCCAGGAGTTCGAGGTTGCAATGAGCTAAAATTGTGCCACTGTACTTTAGCCTGGGCAATATAAGATTCTGGTCTTTGGGAAAGTGAATTTTGAGTTTGGTTTGACTTTGTAATTGAGACTAATGACCAAGAGATTTACCTCTATTCTCCTTCATGCATAGTAACAGTTAATGTTGAGTTGAATAATTTTTTTTAAACTGTTTTATTATAAAAGTATTAAGAAACTTATCTTTAAATTAAGTTTGAAGGTATTTCTTTACATTAGTTTCTAAAAGACCAGGAATCCACATTACCCAAATTAATATGGTAGGACCTCATCCAGGAAAAGAGCACTCACACATTAATGAAAAGGTATTTCTACTATGCAGGTTAAAAACACTTAACTGAGAAACCACTTTAATTGTTTTCATGCTTATTTCCTGGTTAAGAATAAAAAGATACACAGAACAATTTTAACTTCAAATAAACAATGTGAAATATTATATCAATTCATCTTTATTAACTGCCTATCATATTATATGTAGTATTTCTCATTACATGAAAGTTTTTTCTTTACCTGCATTAGATAAAATGCTGTCTTTTCCTAGACTTTTCTTTTCAAGATTATTCAAAATGAAGTCTTCTTGAAAAACATGAAGCAGCTGGGTTTTTCTGCCATGCTGAATGTAAATAAATACCAACATAAGTTGATACACGTGTTATTCATTTAATAGTAAGTAACTGGGAAAAAATAAATACAGTAGAACCTCTGTCAGTTGACCAATCCAAGGAACTGGAACAAACTAGCCAACATATGGAGTTGGTCAACATATGGAACTAGGCCAAGGTACTGATACTGATATGTACTCATGGTACATGTCCAATCTATGAAAATCAGATCAATTTAAGGAGGTGGTGAATGTAGCAAGGTGACCAACTATGGAGGTTCTACTGCATTTCATAAAGAAATATTCAAGCAGAATCAAAGTTCAAAAGTTCATCATGTTAAGTCTATGGGACCAGAATAACCTTATGAAAATGGAAAAAGCCTAGGTCAAGATAATTTGCTTTCATTACAATGAGTCTTGACAATTAAAAAAACGTGTGATATTCACCAATGTGCTTTATACCAATGCAAAAAAAAGTATCATTTTATGTAAGTGGTTCTTTTAGTGATTTTCATAACCATGAAGAACATAAAAGCACTTTATTCAATCTAAAGGTCATGTGACATTATTAATATCTACAATGTGTTTAAGAGGCAGAGTTTGAAAATTCAATTGATTGTGAATACACTACATCTGGGGTTTTTTTGTTTTTTTTTTTTTTGAGACAGAGCCTCAAGCTGTCACCCTGGGTAGAGTGCCATGGCATCACGGCTCACAGCAACCTCCAACTCTTGGGCTTAAGTGATTCTCTTGCCTCAGCCTCACAAGTAGCTGGGACTATAGGTGCCTGCCACAATGCCTGGCTATTTTTTGGTTGTAGTAGTCATTTTTGTTTGGCAGGCCCAGGCTGGATTCAAACCCACCAGCTCTGGCATATTTGGCTAGTGCCTTAGCCACTTGAGCTATAGGCACCGAGCCTATAATCTGATTTTTTAGTGTGAAGTACATAAAATGTGCAATGTATGCTATCCATAGCAAAATATCAAATTATACCAATTTATATAGAGATTTTATACATAATAATTTCACATTTTATATACCACCAAAAAAGAAAAAGTACTTACAAGCTTGGTAATGGGATCTAATGCGATAATACATCCTGGCCTGGCTGTCGACTGCTGACTGACGATGTTAAACACTTCGCCAACATATTTCTGTTTTTTAAAAAATTGATATGTCCTTTACTAAACAACTAAGTTCAAAAGTGATTAAGAGCAAAGCACATAACATTTCAGGAGTAATAAAGTTCAACTGGTGCTAACATAGTCTCTTTCAACTATAAACATTCCAAGCTTTACCTTAACAAGAATTACACAGCAATGAATAAGAAGTATAGCTCAGTTGGTACAGAGAAAAGTAAAGGCAATGCTTGGTTAACTTAGGGGGCGAAATATTTCAAACCCCAAAAAGTGAAAAACTGACTTCAATTTCCTGGAAATGTTCTAAGAAGCAGGTCTTTTTAAAGCATTCATTTTGAGAAGGGAAGAATGGAGTTAAAGAAACAAGCTGACATGCCATTTACAGATACAGACTTAAGCCACTTAGGTTCTGAGTGCTCTGTCAAGCTCACAATGCTAAATTCTGTGACCAATTCTCCACCTTCATCATACTTGCTCCATCAGCAGCGTTTGATCCTGGTGCTCACTCCCTTCTCCTTGAGATACTTTGTTCATTTGGCTTGCATTATGTACCACATTCACCCTACTTTAAACTAAGAAGGCTTCAGCATTCAATCTTTCTATCACTTTTATTTTCCAACTATACTCTTTCCTCAACAATCTCATTCATCTTTACAACTTTAAATACACATGCTGACAACTATTTTATATCTTCAGGACAGACTTTCCTCTGAACTCCAGAAACCAGCCCACTGGGTCTCTTGGATGTCAATAGGCAACTCAAAATTACACATCCCAAACCAGGCTCTTGCACCTTACTTGGCCAGCTCTACTGTTTCTGCAACATTGTTTCTCTCTGTATTAGTTAATATATCTGTTTTCTCCTCATCTTTCTTCACTAGAACATAAATTCTATGATACAAATTTTTGTTTGTTTTCTTCACATCTAAATTCCCAGTACTTAAAATAATGCCTGATAAATAGAAGACCCTCAGTAAATACTACCTACACTATGTGTTTCCACTACAATACTACGTGTTTTTAAAAACCTGTGTTCTTCTTTAAGAGCAACTTGTTTCCACTTAGAAGGATGCACTCATCAGTCTTTCCCAAATGGCCTGCTGAGCTTCCCTGAGCTCCTGAGCTTCCCTAAGCTCTTACCTGGGTTTCCTCTGCTCTGTACCCTACCAGGAATTCCCACCCCCTTAAAGTCTTCCACACAGACAGGTGTTACTGGGGGCTGCCTGAACCCAGGAGGCCACACTGGACCCTGTGTTAAAGTATTTTAAAAACTAAACATTGTTTTGTGACATGAAAAAAAAAAGAAATTAAAAAATATATAAAATAAAATAAAAACCTGTGTTTTGCAAAATCATCTTAAAAATAACTTATGGAAAAAATAGGACTAGAACAGACCACTGACATTTATGCAACTCTGTAACTAGAGCATTAACAAATACATAACTGGTAGCTGGAGAGATGGCTTCAATAGGAAACTCAACAGTCCAGAAGAAGCCTGCCTCTGGGGACAAGGCAGCCTATAGGTTACTATTAGGTTGGTACAGGAAAAAAAGTGTGGCCTCTCATAAGGCAAAAGCTTTGCAACAGTATTCAAAGGACTCCTGCCTGAATTGAAACCAAGTGGAGGACTTTTTCCTTTTATGATTAAGATTAAAATTCTACTGTTATTCTAGCTCCCCTTGTCTGGAAAAAAATTGCAGATGAACCAACATGACTTCCATATCACACTGTCAGTAGTGCCCATTTGTCTATAAACAAAGAAGTATTATAGAAACATATATTGTAAGAGACTAGATTCTACTTTTTGAATGAACTTTTTAAAAGAGCTTTTCATAGTTATAAAGGTATAGTATGTGGGTACAAATGTGAAAAAAATAAAACAAAGTACAAATGTTTATTACAAATATATGTCACAATTCTAGAATATGCTCAATAAATACAGATAAAGTATCTACAAGCATCATATTATACATGCTTTTTTTTTTTTTTTTTTTTTTGAGACAGAGTCTCACTCTGTCACCCTGGGTAGAGTGCTAGGGCATTGTCTTAGCTCACAGCAACCTCAAACTCCTGGGTTCAAGTGATCCTCTTGCCTCGGCCTCCCAAGTACCTGGGACGATAGGCATATGCTACCATGCCCGGCTAGGTTTTTCTATTTTTAGTAGAGATGGGGGTCTCAGTCTTGCTCAGGCTGGTCTCAAATTTCTGAGTTCAAGCAATCACCTTGGCCTCCCAGAGTGCTAGGATAACAGGTGTGAGCCACCACACCGGACCCATATTATACACTTTAAACTGTTTCAAAAGCCATTACTTACAGAAATTTCAGGGTTAGAAAGCTCAAATAAAAGTTTCTTGGCGTCAATAACTGCTTCATATAATCTCAGATACTGCCCATCACTTGCTACAAAGCACGCACTAGGAGAGTTGCAGTAGGCACCTAGGAAGTATTTAGATTTAGAATTTAACCCTTTAGTGATAATATCAGAAAATCTAAACTGTTTAAATAAAAATCACAATGCTTACCTAGACAGTAACTGGGTATAAGAGTAGGCAGCCATGCCACGTTGGAAAAGGCAGAAACATGAAGAGAATTAATCCGAGCAAGCTCAGATACTCCTCCAGAAAAAGACAGTGGCCCAACTGGATCAACCCTCCAGAGAATAAGCTCACTATAAACTGCATTGGGATCCTGAAAGGCCATATCAATGGTGTTTTTATTTTGTTGTTTCAAAGAACATTCCTCAGTATTTACAGCATCAAAAGGCTGCTTCTGGTTATCAACATCTGGTGTCCTTAAAGCATTATGGTGTGATGTTGTCAACAATAAGGGTAACACTGAGTGGCAAGCTAAATCGTTAAGATGAAAGCGATGACCACAATATCTGGATTTGTGGGAAATACTAAGAACTGTAGAAAATGCAGATTCCTCAGCGAAACTGACCAGCCACTGATTCAGAGAACCATCAGCATGTTTTGAAATCATCATAACATTAGGGGTAAAAATACTCAATTTTAAACTATTAGAAGATTTATTGTGACCAGAAGAGATAAGCATTGATGTAGAACGAGTGAGGCCAGAAGGTTTCTGTTTCCCTTGCTGAATAGCCAGATCAACATTCTTGGTACAGGCATACATCACTATGCTCTTACAGAGAGAGTTCGCATCACCTGTGGGGAAAGCTACAGGAATTCTGGAAACAAAGGACACCTAGAATTAAGAAAGCAAGTATTAGAACACATGAAATCACATAAAGAGGTATTATAAATCAGTACCACATCAACAAGAAACAGCTGTCCAGAGATCATAATAATAGTACCTGCACTTGACGAAACATGCCAGGCTGGTATTCATCCAGCCAATCCACGTGCCAAACCAGCAAAGAACCATCCACGGGATGGATACTGAACAGCATGTCTGCATTTTTACTCCATTCAGACAGAAGGACTTCAATCTGATGATCAATGGCAGCTGACGGTAAGGATGTAAAACTTGAATTCGGTACTACTTTATCTCCAGCCAATTCCTTCTTTGCATGATTTATTTTCAGGTCATCAACACAATCATCCGTTTCTATAACAAAAAGAAGTTCATGAACAAAGTAAACACAATCATGTTATCACTCTAAGTTAAGAAACACCTTTATAAATGCATTCTTGATGAAAAACATATAGATTTTATATTAACAAGAAATGGGTTCCTCTTTTAAAGTAACTTTGCTCCTGGAATATAAATTCAATGGAATTAATTCTAATCAGAGGTCTTACGGGGCTGAGTGAGACAATGGGTTACTGGTAAAAGAACTAATGTCAAACTCGAAAACAGATAAATTGGTTTCTGAACCTAGATATCCTATAATTAGCTACTCAACCTTCAGTCAAACACACTACTTATCTACTTATCTAGTTCAATGTTACAGAACAATTCACACAAAGTTGTGTCACTGTACCATTATTAGCACAACAAAAAATACTTAAATCAATTTAAATGTCTCTTAACAGAAGAATTGCTAAAAGTTTTCTCTTAGACATGAACTACTTAGGAGCTATTAAAAATAATGAAATGAAAAACTGCCACTAATGACTGAATTACAACAAAGTTTTGGGATGTTAATTTTGCTTAAAAATGAACACTTTTTCTTCTTAAAAAAAAAAAACAGTCTTTATGTTTGAATGAACATAGAAAAGAATCAATCTGGAGGGATACTCAAGAAACTTAACAATGTAGAAACCTTACACTTGTCTGCACTGGATTTTTTTTCTCCCTTATGATCATGTACCTGGTACAATCTCATAATTAAAATGAAACTTTTCTTTTTTCTTTTTTTGCAGTTTTTGGCCGGGGCTGGGTTTGAACCTACCACCTCCGGCGTATGGGCCCAGCGCCCTACTCCTTTGACCCACAGGCACCACCCTAAAATGAAACTTTTAAAAAACAGACTTACGAACCATAGACTGTTGCAGAGATGGCCCGCTGCCCAAAACATTTCAGACTTCCCAGTCCTCAGCACAGGGAGCCTACTCAGTCAGGAACTACATGAGGCCCCGTGACTAGCTCTTGCCAAGAGAACAAGAGTGGAAGTGACTGCATCGCTTCTGAGTCAAGGCAACTGAGAGACAGCTACACTCCCCCCTCTCCTTCTCTCTCCACACCAACTAAGGCTGAATGCAGAAGAGTTCCAGGCCCTAAGTACAATGCGTCTCCCACTTCAATGTACTCACTAATGACCTGGGAATTTCATTAGATGGCAGCTTCTAGTTTAGAAGATCCATGTAGAGCCTAAGATATGTATTCCCAATAAGCTTCTGGGCAATGCCAATGCTGCCAGTCTACAGATAAGCCTTTAAGAAGCAAAGTCCTAGGGGCTGACAAAACGACAGGAATGAGGTCCCTGAGTCCTTAAATCATATGGATGAAAGCCACAAGGAAGAGCAACATTTATACTGGATTATTAAATGAGTTAGTCCATACATGAATTAAGGTCATTGCAATTTGTAGTTTATTTCTGATAGCAACTCTTTTGTCCTAAGATAAAAACTTTTATTTTGAATAAAACTTTAAATTTTACATTCTTCTTAAAGCTTTACCTTCATCAGATTTTACATCTGTCTGATTAGAGTCTTCCACACTGGCCTCAGAAGATGCTTGCTCAAAACTTTTTCTAACTTGCTGCAAAAAGACTTCCATGGACAAGGTAAAATGCAGTTCTTTATTGTTTAGCCAATGCACCACAAAAGGGCCGCTCTTCTCTTCATTCTCACTTAGACTCAGAGATGTAATAGATGGAAGAAGTGGAATGTCTAGAAGAAAAAAAAATCACAAAATTAAGATTTTTACCATTTTAACATATGAAACATTCATGTCTCATTTTTATTATTAACTATGACATTTACCTTCTCTTTACTTCTTTACTTTTTAATTTAACTTGTTTTTGAGGGTCTTTTTAAAAGACTTTTTTTAGAGCAGTTTTAGTTATAGAAATAAGCATATACCCTGTCCCCCACACACAGCCTCTCCCATTGCTAACATCTGCCACCAAGCTGGTACATTTATTCCAACTGATGAGCCTTCAGTTTACCTCAGGATTCATTTTTGGTGTTGCACATTGTATGGGTTTAAATACTTTATAATGACATTACATCTATCTTTAAACCTCAGAAATATTTTATTTAACCTGTTGACTTCTGACAGGGTAATGTTTGCCACTGTTATTATTAATGATAGGTAACTAAATGATAAATTTAACATACCTATTATAAAGTAGATAAAATTACATATTCTAGGTCACATAGCATAATTTATTTAACCATACATGTTATCTTTAATCCTAAAATTATTCTCATGATGAAAAAAATCTATAGGGCACTGCCCGTAGCTCAGTGAGTAGGGCACCAGCCCCATATACCCAGCATGGCAGCTTTGAACCTGGCCGCAGCCAAACTGCAACAAAAAAATGGCCGGGCGTTGTGGGGGTGCCTGTAGTCCCAGCTACTAGGGAGGCTGAGGCAAGAGAATCGCCTAAGCCCTGGAGTTGGAGGTTGCTGTGAGCTGTGATGTCACAGCACTCTACCGAGGACAATAAAGTGACTAAAAAGAAAGAAAAGAAAAAAGAAAAAAGAAAAAAAATCTACAATTTGTAGATATATTAATAGGAAAATCTTAATTTATCATAAATTTTGGTAAGAAACAAATTTTTAACCTGATCTATAATGAAAAATGGTATAATCAGGGTGGTGTCTGTGGCTCAAAGGAGTAGGGCGCCAGCTCCATACGCCGGAGGTGGTGGGTTCAAACCCAGCCCCAGCGAGAAATTGCAAAAGAAAAAAAAAAAAGAAAAAGAAAAATGATATATATATCATGTATAATCATGTATAATGATGATGTCAAAGGACTACTGATATATGTATCTCAATAGCAACAATTTGTTAGTTATTAGATTATATTAACTTCTTTAATGACCATCTAATTCTAAAACAGATATTACTTATTTATTAGCATCAAGATTGATGTCACAATTTTAGTTACTGAGCTACAGGCGCCGGCCACATATACCAGGGCTGGCAGGTTCGAAATTAAGCCCACGAGTTTGAGTTTGAGTGCTGTGACACCACGGCACTCTACCAAGGGTGACATAGTGAGACTCTGCCTTGAAACAAACAAACAAACAAAAAAAAAAAAATTGAAGTCACAAAGTATGAAATTGAGGTTCCCTTCTCATACTCGAAGAAAGAATTCAAGACAGACCTCTTCAGTTAAAAAAGAAATTGCTCTTTGTGCTCTTTGGAATCACTTTTGAAATAATTACTAAATTGAGCACCCTGAAGTAGAAATCCAGTCAGCTGTAATAAATAATTCCTAATTAGTACAGGCAAGGAAAGATTTAAGTATCATATTAAATCAAATATGGATCATGATGTGATATGCTGAACTGTAAAGGCTAGACAGGATGCAACTTCATGCAAAATAAATCTCTTTTTTTAAAGAAAAAATGTGGCTAAGGCACCAGCACATACACCAGAGCTGGCGGGATCAAATCCAGCCCCGGCCTACCAAACAACAATGACAACTACACCCAAAAAGTAGCTGGGTGTTGTGGCGGGCACCTGTAGTCCCAGCTACTTGGGAGGCCAAGGCAAGAGAATCACTTAAGCCCAGGAACTGGAGGTTGCTGTGAGCTGTGATGCCACAGCACTCTACCCAGGGCAACAGCTTGAGGCTCTGTCTCAACAACAACAATAAAATAATAAAGAAAGAAGAAATGAATAACATGAATTATTTCAAGCAATGTATCTATTGTTAGATACCAATAGAAAGAATACTACAGGAGATGGATAGCAAAGGAAAGGATAAAAGAACCTTTCTCCTGCCCCTTCTATTGGAGGCAGATGCTAAGAGTGGATAGATATATATAGTCCAAGAGCTTCTGTTTATAAATATATACTCCTTAGTATAAATATTACATTAATATTTATCTGCCCCTGCTTCACGAGAGCAAGAACTGCACCTGTGTTTTATCATCACGGTCTCAATTCCTACCACTATCTAAACCCTCAATGAGTCTTGAGTCTGCACTGCTAGTCCCACTTGTCTCCACAGGACTATCAGAGATTGAAGGAATATTCCAAAGAAGCCCTGGGTAAGATTTTCTGATATCTGACTTAAAATACACCCAAAGGAAATCAGCAACACCCTTGGTAGACCACAGGCCGAGTTGGTAACTACACAAGAAGGATGTTATATAATGCTGGCTTTTAGCAGAAGCATTCTGACTAAAAGGAAACTCACATCTCTTCTAGGTCCTGACTCCACTCAAAAAATTTGACTGAAGTCACTTTAGTGAAAAATCCTTATGGAAAAGGTATAAGAATTAGAATGAAAAGAACATGATCTTATGACTCTTCTATGGCTCTTTCTATTGATGGGCAAGTAAGTTAAGTCAAATCTTATTCTTTGGGGAAAGGAATTCTCCATTGGGTCTAATATAGCTGCTGAGAATATTACTTTATTTTGCTCTATTTTTTTCCTTTGGGACTTGCCTCTGAAGAAAGGTTTTAGAGTTTTCCTTACTGGAAGCTAATCAGGACAAGGCCATTCAGAAATTAGGGTTCTTTTCCAGTAGTCCCTCAGCCTTTCCCATTAATGTGAGAATTCAAGCTTTCTTTATTCTAATAATATTGTCCTTTACTTAGCCAAGAACTTCAAAATTATTCCACTGACCTTAGAATTGACTCTGGGCTCATGAATTCTTTCAGAGCTAAGACCATTGTCTACCAAATAAAAGCTAGAAGATCAGCAAATATTAATACTTTTCATTCCTACCATAGTATCTCTACACTTCTACTTAACAAAGTACTTCTTTTGCCTGGATGTAAAAATTCTATTCAAGTAACTAGTGGACCATAATTTTTTCTATGTTTCTTTGAAAAAGGCAATACTGTAAATCTAGTGTGCTACCTGGAAATAAGTTATATTTAATTTGTGCTTAACGATATTCCACAATATATAAAAACTTGTTAATAGTGGTTATATTCTAGGAAGAGGGACTAAGTTAGGTAGAAGTGAAAGAAGGCTCTTTTAACTTTCACTTTCTGTACAGATGACATTTATCATATGCAAATTATCTTTAATTTTTTCAAGCAACATTCCAAGGTTCTATTTTAAATGCCCCAGTTTGACTATTGTTTATTATAAAAAAATTATTAAAATGATAAGAACTTAAATTTCAAATTCATAGGTGGACCCAGATATTCCAGGTCTTTCAATCTAATAGTACATTCCTGACTACAGCCACATTGGTTCTTTCTTTCTTTCTTTTTTTTTTTTTTTTTGACAGAGCCTCAAGCTGTCCCCCTGGGTAGAGTGCCATGGCATCACGCTCACAGTAACCTCCAACTCCTGGGCTCAAGCGAGTCTCCTGCCTCCGCCTCCCAAGTAGCTGGGACCACAGGTGCCCGCCACAACGCCCAGCTATTTTTTTGGTTGCAGCTGTCGTTGTTTGGCGGGTCCGGGCTGGGGATTCGAACCCGCCACCTTAGGTGTAGGTGGCTGGCGCCTTAGCCGGTTGAGCTATGGGCGCCGAGCCCACATTGTTTCTTAATTCTTCCAGTCATACTGTCAGTTATTTTTACCTTTTTTATGGAATGGCTCCAAAATCAAGTATCAAACACAATGGGGTTTTTTTTAGTGTTTTTGTTTTGAGACAGGTATAATGGTGTCAATCAGAGCTCAATGCAACCTCAAACTCCTGAGCTCAAGCGATCTTCCCACCCTAGTCTCCCAAGTGGCTGGGACTACACATTTTAAGCAATGCTTTATTACCTGTGGCTGGGTTGATGCTGGCTGCGATATGGAAGTGGCAAAGCGCATTGGCATGGAGTGGAGTGTTCCTGTGGACGTGATGAGGGTTCTGCTGATGGGGCAGATATCCCGTGTGTGCTACAAGCGCAAGTGACCTCCTCCGACCTCGCCGAAAATGTCTCAGATTTACCTTTGCAAATAAAAACAAGTAAAACAAATGCCTATCTTGTTATAAGTCATATAAATGTGTAGGTTACATAATCATCGTTAGACATTACATATATGCTAATTCAGAGAATTTTATATGGCTATGAGGACAATCTGGCTACGACATCTGTGACTCCACTGATAGCCAAGGCTGACCTGGCCGGCTAGTCGGGTGTCTACTCCCTCACCATTCCACGTGTGCCTGTCCTGAAGTTGTACACTCAGTCAAAAAGGACAACCTTCCATGACACAGGAGGACCATTCCAGCCAAGGGTTTACATGTAGCTGTGCTCCCCAGCTAGAACCTCCAAACAAGCTCTCAGACAATTTTACATGTACAAATACTTTTCAGTATTTTCATATAGCAAATAGGAATACTGAAAAATAAGGTTAAGACTTAAACTGCCTGTATTTCTTAACCTTTGTAGTTTTTATTTGCTTAAAATTAATTTCTTAAACATTTTTTCTAATACTATGTATGTAAATAATGATGTCTCTACATACAATGTCCTCTTTCTCCACAGCTAACGCCTATGACCAAAATGACTGAATGATATTACCATTATACAGCAGGGTATTTTGTAACTTATAAAGCACCATCTCATTTATCCCATGAGGAAAGCAGTGCAAACATTGTTATTCTCATCCTTCACATGATAAGACAGTCTATAGAGCACCCAAGGTCACCTAAGCTAACAAGAGGCAGAGGTAAGAGTGGAAAAAGTCTTGAGACTCCCAGTCAAGACCTTCATTTCGCTCTTTACTATACACAACCATCTGTTTGTTGTTGACCAGGTATGCAGTATATATTCAATTAGATTCTAAAGTATTAGAATACTACTCAAATTTGAAAAATAGTTGCCCCAGAATCATGCAAAAACATTTAAAGATAAATAATTTTAAGTCACTTCCTATTTTCAATATTATGAAAATAAGAAGAATCTGTATTATTCTATTTTTAATTAGTCTAAACATCAAAAATTGACTTCTACTCTCAACACTAATGGGTAAAATAAAGACCCCAAGTTCTGGGCAGGGGACAGGTCTAAGTTTAACAAATGATAAACTACCCAAGCTTTATTGGTTGGTTTAAGGAAAATAAACCAAGACATTTTATAGTGAAATCTTTGCATCCTCAGATTCTTTTTTTTTTTCTTAGAGACAGAGTCTCACTTTGTTGCCTTTGGTAGAATGCTATGGCCTCACAGCTCACAGCAGCCTCCAACTCTTGGGATTAAGCAATTCTCTTGCCTCAGCCTCCCGAGTAGCTGGGACCACAGGCACCCGCCACAACGCCCAGCTAGTTTTTATCATTGTTGCAGTTTGTCCAGGCCCAGGTTTGAACCTGCCACCCTCAGTATATGGGGCAGGCGCCCTACTCACTGAGCCACAGGCACCCCCTACATCCTCAGATTTTAATTTACTTTATGTTACTTCAGTTAAGTCAACTGCAATCATCAGTGTTATATAAATCAGTTGACTTAAGATTAATTTCATAATTACGGGTTATTTTTGTGTTCTTGACAAAATCTTTAAGTATATTTTTTGAACTGAATAAAACTGAAAATTTTCTGAGATTTTCTTAAGATACATATTTTTTACAATATTATATTACCAAAGGTAACGTACTAGGTTTTTAAATTTATACAAAATAACATCTAACAAAAACACTCACTTCTAAAGCATTCTGAACTCGTTCTTTACTGGAAGCATTTCTCTTGAAGTTATTTGTTAAATTAATTGGTTCAGTCCAATGGTTGCAGTCACCTCCGTACAGCAAACAATCATTTGGTAAAAATGTCTCTACCCAAAGACGGCACACATTATCTTTGCAGCAAGTCAACAGTACATTACACACAGAAGCCCTAAGGAATAAAAAGTTTTTAGAGGCAAAAATACAAATTTCACACAGTATCATAGGCAATTCTACAATGGTTCTATACTTATTTAAATGCACACAACTAAGGTACCAATGAAGAAAATGTCAAGATGCACAGCTTTCTTTCTTTTTTTTTTTTTTTTAGACAGAGCCTCAAGCTGTTGCCCTGGGTAGAATGCCCTGGCATCATAGCTCACAGAAACCTCCAACTCTTAGGCTCAAGTAATTCTCTTGGCCTCAGCCTCGCAAGTAGCTGGGACTACAGGAACCACCACAATGCCCAACTTTTTTTTAGAAATCAGGTCTCACCCCAGCAAGCTCAGGGCAATCTACCTACCTCGGCCTCCCAGAAGGCCAGGATTACAGGCATAAGTCACAAGTTTAGTAGTTCTTATTTCAATAATCTATGGTTGTTCTTACATCTAAAGAACATAAGCCGGCTCGGCGCCTATAGCTCAACCGGCTAAG